AAAAATCCAACCATCAGAGTTTTATTTTTTTCTGCTGTCGAGATATTTCTTCACGTGAGTTTGTTTACACCTATTTTGCCGCACCGCTGCGATTATCTATAAATAAATTTCTTTGAACCGGCAGTTCAAAGAATGGAAAAAAATATTTTGTGCTAGGCAGCGAAAAAAAAAATTCCTATTTCTCTAACACTCAAAATCTGCCACTATGTTGAATTAAACACAATTTGTTGTGCTCAATTCTGCATCTAAATCTTCCTCTCCGTTTTCCAAGCGATTGCATTATTTATATGCTGTATAACCATATGTCACTCGGTTCAAATTATGCAATACCTTAATATATTACACTTCCTAAAATTCCACATGTAGCTTGACTATTTTTTGTAAAATATAACTTCAGAATCACTAATGTAATCCAATATCGCCTAACACTTTGTTAACTATGTAACTTCTGCTCACCACGCTATTTTCATTAACATGTTCTCAACAAGTTCCCTTCCAAACCATAATTTCCTCATATCAACATTAAATACCGGTCACATTATACTCCCATATCTCCACGCTAATTTTCCCATTCGTCAATTTCCTGCTATAATACGCCTGTTCACTTCCTACAACTACATGTTACTGCCTCTCCCAAGCAGTCCCCTACGTCACATCGTTCATTCCGTATATCTCTCCGCTTGAGGACAAGCTCACTCTGTACCTCTAGGATGAAGTGAAGGTCGATGTTTGGTTATCCAATCCACCTAAACCAACTCCTCCACTCAGTCCGACTGAGGATAATGTACCGAAATCGAAGTTCTCTATGGTCTCGCCGTAACACGTGTACTCCTTACGCACGCAACTCGGAAGACGTTCAACAACAGCTGAACAAGCTCGAGGACGAGCTTTCTGAAGGAATGGAGATGTCGGGATGCAGCTATGACCCAACAGCTGCTAGCGATGGAGGTTGGCCTAAGACAACGAACCTCGGACAGTGACCTCCGCCCGTCGGCAGGAGCCGGTTCCCTCTTTCCCCTTTCCCCTTCCCCTTTTGTATATAACTTGTATAATAAACATTATAGTAAGGCTCATGTAACCCCGCTACACATCAGGTAAAGGACCTGCAGACCTTTATCCTGACAATCTGATATGTTCCTTTCACACATAATTCTGAATGCCGACCTCTGCCTCTCAATTGTTTTTAAAGTTTTATAAATTGGAGAAATTTGTGTCTAAATACGATACCGCTCACAGAATGTGCAGGATTCTGAATGTCGCGGAAGTCCGCGACATTCACGGAAATTTTGCACATTCTGTGGGTGGTGTTGTACTCAACAGTTTGGCGACTTGCAGTTCGAAAGCAGTATGACTTAACCATAATTTTTGTTGAGTAACCTGCTGATACTGAGTTGTTTGACATCGTATGCATCATCTTGCTTATGATGTTTTCTCATTGCTCCCTCAAACCATAAGGCCAACGTCACAATCTCACGTCCCGATAAGATTTCTTCAAGATAACAATTTGTACTCATTTCACTCATCATCATTAGCTTGAGCGATTGACATGATAATTTGCCCGTAACGCCTGTGGGAAGGTATCTCAGCTGCTAACTGCGATGGGATCTCTTCGCACAAGAAAACCTGAAGTGCTTTCATTTGAATTTCTAGCGCCAAACTTAATGAAAAACGTAACTTATGGGTGTTATCGGCAGGGAAGAGTCAGCGAGTAGCAAAGAACAACGCTCCTCCATAAAAACCAATTGAAGGTATTAGTCAGTATCCCTCACTAGGAAAATTCCGGAAATCATCTTATTGAAAAAGAGTAATTGAAGCTACTCAAATTAGGTTATTTACAAGTCTTTGACTAGTCACACAATGTGACGAAGGCACGTAACATGTGCCTTTTACTCTTTTGTGTTAAAAACAATTACAAGAAGCTATATCCCAGATCTCATGCGTACACTTCCTAGTCAAGAAAATTTGATCTAAAAGATTCGAGCTTGTAGAGAGTGTTGTTAAATTTCGGATAGTTCCGATGTAGCACGCTGAATCAACTCGATTTATGTTCATCAATTCTGGAGGTTGTTCCGACAAAGCAGTAAATGCATTGATTTCATCACACAGACTAAACTCAGTCCCAACAACCAAGCCTGAACCAAAAAAGGTTCAGTCTTTCAGCTCCAAGAATCAATGCTTGACTGATCCAATTCTCTATGTTTACATCATGGTTTTATAAAGTTTCAACGCCGAAATGACTCACTCATTTTTTAACCTCGCTAAAATTTCTTTTAGTTTGTACATAAATCATCTAAATCTATCGCATCGGACTTGCAGAGCTGCCACTTCAAATTCTGGCGCCAAATCGAACATAGCAGTTGGGATGTTATCGCCAAAAGAAGGTCATCGGTTAGCAAACAAAATAAAGAGCTCTCCCTGGCGAACATTAGAAAGCAAGGGGTGTACGAACAATTAATTCCTGTACCCTTTCCACAGGGTGGCGGTCAAGAATAACGATAGCTCTGCCAGCCGCTAGCTGCCAGCTGCTCGGGCGCGCAGAACAGCCCGCCTTCACTCATTCATTAAATTGAAAAAAATGATTTAAATCTCAGTTCGTTTCATTCGAAATTTGTTTTCTTAATCAACCAAGAAAGCTTACATATTTCACATGCCAAACCAAGCTTAAAACAATTCTTTCGCGTGTTCATGGCGATGTAAAGCTGACCATTTCCATCCTTAGAAAATAGCAGAAGCTTTAACATAAAGCATGAATAAAGAAGAACAACGCTTTGGGCATTTACTGCTACAAAATGTACTGCTTGCGTGAGCTCGTCCGCTGCTGGGACAGTGCTACCTGTATACCGTTTATTGACACCCGGGCACTCAAGGCGTCACTATTGCCAGCTATCGTTATTCTTGACATATACCCCTTTCCACAGGCTCCTATGGAGCATGAAGTTATACTGGTTTAGAGAGTTGTGGAAAGATTTATTGGTACATAGAAATATAGGGTTGCCTCTAACAGACCTTGGAACCTGCACCATTCTTCTCTCAATATGCATATGAGCTTTTGAAGCTTCAGAAAACCAACTTGATCCAAACTTCAGTTTCCGAGTTGACACGTATTCGTGAGCTGTTTCTTCCTAATTGAAGATCTTGGGAGATTTCACATGATTTTACAACCGTACTATTTTATAAGCATAACCACTACATCAATGCTTTTGACGGAATCGAACTTTGAAGAAAAGTCCTTTACAGTCATGCAACTAGAATTTCTAGACTTTGACCAAAGATATAGCAATTTGTATCTCCTTGTAGAAGATTTAGTGTATATATAATTACAGGAGTGTATGTCTCCTTGCCGTGGGTATGCTCGTCATCAAAGAAAACACCGGCCCTCCTCAGATTATTGCTCGACTTATAAATGCTTGGAGCGACGCTGATGTACTAAGACGGCGTGCTTTTATCCTGTATTTGCATCTGAAAAGTCTAAGTAATCATACCCTTTTCTTCATTGCGCAATAATCGCCAGGGGAGCAAATAGGCAGATGTGAGAGCAGATGCTTTGGGAAAAGGTCACTACTGCTGGCCCACGATAAAAGTAAACTACATGGAAACTTACTTTGACTAAAAGACTAACTAATAAATAACTAATTAATTAACTATAACTAACTTACCATATGGAAATTTGATTTACTTTGAGATGCCCCAACCTACACATTCGACCAAATATGGTTGAATGTGCACAAAAAATCATAACAAAATTGTTGCTTTTCAAGTGTCTGGTAAATGTCCGGGCACATTTTATTTTTGAAGCAATAATATTCTGCTAAATGCACATTTAAGAGAACAAAGAAAGCTCTGCAGTAGTAAGAACGAGCTGTAACGTTGCTTTCCCCTAAAAATTCAAAACTTAGCAGCTATGAAACTAATTGTCAAGTTAGCTTCTATTATTTAGTTATTAGGAGTGTTTCGGGCTCTGTTCAAATAAATAATGTAACGGTATCTACTTGCCAATGATAAAGATGCAGTCGTGCGCAACTATGATTTTGGTTGTCAAATCAACTTTTCTCTTCTTTGGGCTAATCTCTACTTTTTGCACCATAGTAATCGACTTAATCAATCGAACTCCTAAACATATTTTTATCTCAACCCCTTGTTCCATTTCTCGTATGGCCGCCATCGTTACATTTTCGTCCCTTACCTCTGCGCATCCGAGAATACGCCATCCTCGCGTTCCCGCCGAAATTTGAACGACAATGTCGTTTGGAGTTGAGACGGTAATTTGTAAATTGAAGTGGAGATATTATACTGCTGTATAAATCATAGCGAATCATGAAGTAGTTAGAAAGAAGAGGTATAATTTATAGTCTAGCCTGAACAGGATAACAAAACTTGGAAAGTTTCGTTGGCCCAGGCTAAGGCTTTGATTCTAGAGAAATTTTCGAGCATCGTTTCACTTCGTATGTGGGGCTTCCTCTTAGCCAAACAAGGAAAGGCACTCTGGAAAGCGCAAAGATCCATTTTCTCTTGTACAATGAACGTTGGAGACCCTATGGATTTTAGGAGAAAGATTAGCAGTTCTTCTTGAAACTACCTGTACAATACAATATGCGAACAATTGTTTGTTAAAAAGCGAGGTAACATGTGCTAAAGTTACTTAATTAGGAGAAGCAAATTTGATGACTTCAATATTTCTTGCGACAGCTTCTGAGCTCTGTGAACAAAGTAACATCACTTCCCTCTGTTGATCAGCTACAGCAAATGTGTAAAGGAACAAATAAGCTATATATAGCACATATATACTACCTGTAACCATAACCATAAAGTTGACAGAAGGCAAAATTCACGTTTAAGTTTTTGTTCCACATCGCAACCTTGAAATCACCTCTGCAAAAAGCAGTAACAATTGCTAGAATGTACAAACTTTATTATTCAAGCACTCGTGATTCAAGTAAAGTTTGTGGCCCTAAAGAGGGCCCTTGGGTTAGATTGGGTGCATGCACCAGCCGGCAAGCCATTTACTTGCTTGAGGTGTACTTGGTGACGGCCTTGGTGCCCTCGGAGACGGCGTGCTTGGCGAGCTCGCCGGGGAGGATCAGGCGGACGGCGGTCTGGATTTCGCGGGACGAGATCGTCGAGCGCTTGTTGTAGTGGGCGAGCTTCGACGCTTCGACAGCGATGCGTTCGAAGACGTCGTTGACGAACGAGTTCATGATCGACATCGCCTTCGACGACACGCCGGTGTCCGGGTGCACCTGCTTGAGCACGCGGTAGATGTAGACCGAGTAGCTCTCCTTGCGTCGGCTCCTCTTCTTCTTATCTCCGCTGCGGCTCGCCTTCTGCGTCTTCGCGGCCTTCTTGGCTCCCTTGGCTGATGGCTTTGGTGGCATGACGATTGGATTCACTGAGTGGACAGTGGTTGAAGAGTGACTCGCGGGACGCCCCTTTATACGCGGTTCGTCGCGACGACCCGCCCTCGCAGGCGGATCCGCGACGGTCGAAGGGGCGGAACACGGGCGCGACCTCGTAAATAAGAGGGGCCCCGTAGCCACACTTGCCACCCGTGAGCGTATCTCGCAGTTTTCGCTACTACAATGTCTGGACGTGGAAAAGGAGGCAAAGCCAAGACCGGAGGCAAGGCCAAGTCCCGCTCATCCCGAGCAGGACTTCAGTTCCCCGTCGGTCGTCTGCACCGCATGCTCCGCAAGGGCAACTACGCCGGCAGAATCGGAGGAGGAGCCCCCGTTTACCTGGCCGCCGTGCTCGAATACCTCGCTGCTGAGGTGCTCGAGTTGGCAGGCAACGCTGCTCGTGACAACAAGAAGACCAGAATCAACCCTCGCCATCTCCAACTCGCTGTCCGCAATGACGAGGAGCTGAACAAGCTGTTGTCCGGTGTAACCATCGCCCAGGGAGGAGTCCTGCCCAACATCCAGGCTGTTCTTCTGCCTAAGAAGACTGCTGGCGACAAGGAATAAACTCATGTGTGCTGCATTCGTGCGCCAAATCTAACCCAACGGCCCTCTTTAGGGCCACAAATGCTTGCTGAATACGAGTAGACTACGTATGAATAAATCTCTTTTGAAAATTAATGATGTGTTGTAGCGTCGTCTATGTAAGAAAAATGAGCAGTAACAGATGAAAGAGCTATCTTTGGATGTGAGGCGATGCTCATCGTCAAGAAGCACGACTTATTCGAAGCTGTTTTCCAAAAAAGCGCGACATGTTATGCAAAGCGTCCACTAATGCTGCTAGATTGAGCGTTACTCGAGAGCTTTGTCTTGGGAGCTTCTCTCAAGATTTGTGGTGTGGTTTAGTAAAAATTGTCCCCACCACATCCCACTTACTTAGGAAATATGCGATACAGACACAAGGACTGAGTATTTTGGTATATAAAAATACGACAATAAGCACCGACTACAGCGATTCATCTATTGGAAAAATGGGAAGTTCTCAAATTATCGGTTTACATTTTTCTTATGAAAAGACTGTTTTCCACAGCAAACGACCATGAATAAAGCTAAACCTTACACCATTGTATTCAGTCTACCATTTAATCCTTTCCACGCGCCATAAACTCATAACTAACAGACATTCCTGAAACGATAAGAAATGAATTGAGTTTTCAGCTCAAAAATTCATTTGACTTGTTGTTTCATTAGCTATTATTTTTACTTCCTTAATAAACTCATGGTCACCCCCTCGAGTACTACTTAATTTTGCTGCCTTTTGTTGACGAACAGTTAGAATGACGAGTTTGGCTCGGAGTAAACGAAGAATTTTTGGATTGAACTTATAGCTTTCTCTTTTCATTAGCACTTCCCGTTTTCAAGCAATCAAGAGATCCATACATCATCTTCTGGCGATCTCGGTGACAGGTGCAACAGCTCATAGTATTGTTTTCCACGGCCTCTATGGCAGACCTAGGTCACCATATGCCTCTGGGAAAGGCCCCATGCTGTGACGTGCCATACTTGATGTGTTTAATGAGACAAATGTCCCTGCTTAACCCATTGACGGCAGCAGTCCCTGCTTAACCCACTGACGACGATTTAGACTATCGGTTGCCCAAGCGCTTTTGCTACCATGAACGATGTGGACTCCCGCTGGCCTACACCACCTGCGAAATCTATCCTTTCCAGGTCTAGTCTTTTTTCCACAATTCAGCATTTTTTCAGTTTTTGGAACCTGTAAACTTTCTCGTCCAAGATGACTGTAGTTGTTTACAAAACAATTTTACATTTCGTAAATAACCAGAAAACTTTCCCACGCCAAAAGGAGAAAACGTGTCGTCCCACAGTGCCGCCATGCAAAATTAGGCGTCGTCGTGAATGGGTTAAGTATGTGAATATGGAACACGGACAGGTGAAGACGAAAAAGACTATGGCAAGCAGAGAAAGTCAAACCATTCACAATTAGTTAGAATTGGAAACCAAGGAATTACGGCAACAATTTCCATCCGCTTACCAAGATATCCATAATAAGTTTTGTTAAGCTCGCAGACCAGGGCTCGGCACAGGTGGTTTATAAGCAAGCTAGGTATCGTTTTTGGGACAAAAGGCGTAGGGAATATCGATTTTGTGGTCGAAAAAACACAACTTAGCCTATCTTTTTATTCGACGTTTCTTTTCTTGAGGTTTTTCACGTTTAATTTAGGATCAGAGGGTACTACGTAGAACTTCGCGAAAAGCAAAAGAGATCTCGTTTTTTGGGTCTTCGGAAAGCCACCTCGTGCCGAGCCCTGGCGCAGACAGACATATGCACAATAATCACTTGCTGTTCTCAAATACTATCGTTGCAAGAAGGAAGTAAAGTAATCACTTCTCTTAAAGCCTTTGTTTTGAGAACAATAGTGAAACAATTATTCAATAAAGATTCGCTAAATTCGAAATGAAGTGGAACATGCAAAGATATATATGCTACGTTTGGGGAAAGAAAGTCTTCCGTTTGGATTTCATGCAACAAACTCTTTCCTCTCCGTCGTAACAATTCACCGTGCGTGTTACCGCACAATACGGGCCACTGAAGATAGACCTCTGTCGCTTGCACGATACCCACACTATCAGCCCCGCCCTGGACAGGGCGATGCATATATAAGGTCACCAGACACGGCCAGTCATCGTTCTCTCAGAACACTCAGCAATGGCTCGTACCAAGCAGACCGCCCGCAAATCCACCGGAGGAAAGGCCCCTCGCAAGCAGCTGGCCACCAAGGCCGCTCGCAAGTCGGCGCCGGCCACTGGCGGAGTGAAGAAGCCCCACCGTTACCGTCCGGGAACCGTCGCCCTTCGTGAGATCCGCCGTTACCAGAAGTCGACGGAGCTGCTCATCCGCAAGCTGCCGTTCCAACGCCTCGTCCGCGAGATCGCCCAGGACTTCAAGACCGATCTGCGCTTCCAGTCGTCGGCTGTGATGGCCCTGCAGGAGGCCTCAGAGGCCTACCTCGTCGGTCTCTTCGAGGACACCAACCTCTGCGCCATCCATGCCAAGCGGGTCACCATCATGCCCAAGGACATCCAGCTGGCTCGTCGCATCCGTGGAGAGCGTGCTTAAGCGCCAAACATTCGCTGAATAAACTTAACCCAACGGCCCTCTTTAGGGCCACAATTGCTCAATGGGTAGAGTTCTTCGGAAACTTTTAGTAAAATGAATAAATTATTGTTTTTTGCCCTGCAAGTGTTAATCCTCCTGTGCATTTGTGAATTAAGAATGATTTTTCCAACTGAATCTATTATAGCCGAGCGTGTGTTGTTGTACTTGAGTGCAACTTCAGGAAATTCACACATCAAGCTCCTTTCTCAAACACGCCTGAAAGACAAGATATAGGATCAAAATATGTTAGTCTTGGATGCTATGTTCCTTTTGCTATAATGTAAGCCATAAGCAATAGCACATTGCCCTATTTCAAATGTCACTTCAAGGTGTAGTACATCAGACCCAGTCACAACTTGGTATACATAGAACAGGACTATCCGGAATCATTCTTCGTGCACCGAGGGAAGTGTGAAAGAAAAAAGGTCACACGAAAATTTTATCCTTGAAGCTAGATAAGATGTAGGACTAATCGAGTTTTGGAAATTATCTTTATTCTCGCTCTGTCCTTCTATTATATTTGGGATTGACGTAAAAATCTTGATTGAAGACCTTGAACGTTACAGAGTATTTCACCCATTTTCCCACATTCGCCTTACTTCTAGCTTCTGGGGATCCGCAGGGTCAAGGGATCAAAAATTGCACAGAGAATGCGAAAGATTTCGAATCCTACATGCGCTTCTTTGTATCAAACATGCAATGAGATTTTTTACCATATCAGAGACTCGACGTCTCCCTGCCAATATTTTCTGGCGGCGTTCTTCATAGTTTTGCTGACGTTTATCGTTGGTGATTCCAGGAGCTTGGAAGTTACCATACATCTTGACATTGGTATTTCGTGATACGAAATAATCAAACCCATGAATACTACCTCAACATCCAAACATATCATAATCATAAGGCAGCTCATTTTTGAACCAACTTTCAAGAAACGATATGCCATTGCCATTGAAATATATACGAACTACTTTCTGAACAAAATGATCGCAAAAATAGTTTATAATTTATCTCAGAGTTCAGTGGATCTTGTGTTATTTGGTTTGATTGACGAAAACATGTGGTGTAACTGATTTAGATTGCTTCAACTCATTACGCACAGCCACTTTTCTTCATAATCTTCTATCATTATTGAGGTACCTATGAGCCATGGTTAGTTTGTTGAGTAGTTTATCAACAAGCGAAGCCTATGCGAACACTATTTGAGCTCAAAAGGGAGTGCTATAGATGGCGGGCGCAAAATTGAGCATTGTAATTGATGGGCTTAGAATGGCTACGGTAACTGAAAGGCGCAGAAAGAGCCCTGTAATTGATGGATTGCATCAACTGTATGTCTTATAGATAACAACTGACATCGTATCAATCACGCAAAAAATGCATCAAGACAGGCTTCATGGCCTACAAGGTGCACATGCAATACTTTGCTCATTGGATGGATTCGTATACCATACACAATTGAAAAAGTCTGAAGTAAGTACTCAGTTGCTGCATATTATGTGAGCGATGTAAACATGTGTTCCAGAATGTTCCAAGCAGCAACGAAAGGGAGGTTAGCTCGTTGATGAAGAAGAGATTGATCTCTGAATGCTAAGCAGTTAATATACATAAATTTTCCATAACATGATTGATATATGCTTTTTTTGTTGCACATGAGGAATACAGTATTGAGGTGTTACCTTTCAGCGAAACTCCCCACGGCAGCATTTGAAGTTTATCATAGAACTTGAATAGTCGTAAGAGTCATAGAATAACATTTTGTGGCAAGTTTCCAAAATGATCTCTTTTGAAGTATGCGTCATACATGAGCAAGCAGATGCAAGGAAGCTTCTAACGATGATTCTCCTGGATTTGGCTCTGCCAACGGAACGCACAAGTAGGGCGGGTTGACCTTATGCGGGGTGGGTCTCCACGGGTGACCCCGCCGAGGCGCATATAAGCAGGTGCTGCGTCTAGTTGGCATCTCATTCGTGACTGCTACCGATCGAGCAATGTCTGGACGTGGAAAAGGAGGCAAAGGACTCGGCAAAGGAGGAGCGAAGCGCCATCGCAAGGTGCTCCGGGACAACATCCAGGGCATCACTAAGCCAGCCATCCGTCGTCTCGCCCGCCGAGGAGGAGTGAAGCGCATCTCCGGACTGATCTACGAGGAGACCCGTGGAGTGCTGAAGATCTATCTCGAGAACGTGATCCGCGACGCCGTCACCTACTGCGAGCACGCCAAGCGCAAGACCGTCACCGCTTTGGACGTCGTCTACGCACTCAAGCGCCAGGGACGCACCCTCTACGGCTTCGGAGGATAAAAAGCTCTCATCAATGGATTTTCAAATAATTGACCCAACGGCCCTCTTTAGGGCCACATATCGTGCTTTGTGGCGGAATCAATTTATGCATACATGTAAATGATATGAAATTGTTTATGAGTATGATGCCAGTAAAACACTTTTTGAGTACTTCCAAATCTTGCCCAAGGCTTCCGCGTATTAGTCTGCTAGAATCGAACAAAATTCGCTATGCAAAATATGCTCCTACTTGGTCCTGTCACACTTGAAAAGAAGAAGAAAGAATAGATCGGATGTCCAGCGAACTGGTGCAGACCGTCGTCGAATGATGCAGACCGCTGAATTTGCTGCCACTGTCGAAGTAAGGGTTTGGGATCGCTTACTTTTGTTCTTGTCAAAAAAATTCGTGAGTTAGCTTGCTCAGATCCGTCGGCTTGATCCTTTAATATCTGTTATAATAAATAGATAGACAAGACAAACTTACAACTCAAAAATTGTCTTCAAAGCAGAGTTTGTTCGTCATCATCGCCATCACAATTTGAATTCATACTGCTTTCATAAACAGGCTGATTGCTGATTCCACGAAAATTTTTGATAGATGGGGAAAGTCTATTGTATAAGTCAAATGAGCTACTATAGAAAATAATCTGATTTGAGCTCCTCTGGCACTTCTCTTGTCATTCTGCTGGAACTGAAGGATTATCCAAGTATGAACACTTAGATTCTGGTTGCCATGATTTTATCTCCGTTTTGGTTGGCCACATGTACTTTTAGAAAACTGTTACAGTTGCATTTGTTCTTGTACGGTATCCATCTTACCAGTAAGATGGTCCTGCAGCCTCGAACCAAGTTGTCCCAGGCACAGTTTTCACATTTTGTTTGAACATATGTCTTAGCGATGACGATCTGTCGATCACTCCTCATCGTCACTCTTAGCACTTGACATAGAATTTGCTGTGAGTGCCTATGGGAAAATATCATAGCCTGCTTTTATCAGCGGTACAATCTCTTCGCATTGGAGCATGTGGAGTGCTGTGTTTTGAATTCGAGCGCCAAAAGCGACGTATACGCAGCAGATGGGCCTGTTATCGGTAGTAAAAGGTCTACGGGAAGCCAAGAAAGGACAGCGTGTTATGTAAATGAAGAGAAGGGATGTTTAGAATTACTAATACAAATGCACTCATTCCATAGCCTCCCTTTAAATAATGTTTACTGTCTGAGAATCATTGAAAGGTAAGTTAAAGCCTAAAATGTGAAGTAACAATGACAGAACCCTCTTTAAAGCCTGTGCCATTTCTCGCAATATATATGACAAACGAGATTTTGGATGTCTTCTTGGGTCTTGTCTTCTTGGAAGGTATGGTTCTCTACAGCTGTCTCATGAACAAGAAAATTTCAGAGCTTTGGTTGAGAAAGGGGGAATTTCTAACTATTCGTCGAAGAAAGTTGACTGCTCATATAATAAAAAGAGTATGGTGCTCTCGCCGTAGGGACTTTCACGATCAAAGGAGACACCGACCTATGATAGGTTTTGTTCGACATTACAAATGATTGGAGCGGCGATGTACTAACTCAGACAGTCTGCTCCGGGGCTCTCCCAAAACTGGCGCACCTCCGGAGCAGAGATTTGCGCGTCCCGGAGAGGGGTTCCATTCGTTTACCGTGACGTCACGGTCACGTCATGGTGACGTCACAAGCAGACGAATGGGCCCCCTCTCCGAGACGCGCAAATCTCTGCTTCGGAGGTGCGCCAGTTTTGGCAGAGCCCCGGACCAGCAAAATGCGTGAAATGGCAGGGCGGAGCGCTCCAGAGCGCGAAGTGGCAGACTCGCGTCGTTTGCCCGCCGGAGGTATCCCTTCGACTGTCTGAGAAGGCGGCACGCTTTTATCCTGTATGTGCATTTGAAAATACTAACAAGGGAAGTCACTTAACCTAGGTCGGTCTTTTGAAATGAGACACATATAGTTGCAATCAGCTTGAAACGCTCTGATTCCAAATCTGCTTTCCATAGCTGCGAAGCGTTCCTCTGAAGCGAGTTATGTGCTTTTTCTCGAGCAAACTTTGCGTGTTGACCGACTTAGGCATGCTACAGTATCATCATCTAGGTAGTGGTTCAAATGCATACTACGCCCTATCAAAGCCAAGTGACTCAGTTTGATGTTATTTCAATCTTCCACTACTTTTTGGGCAAATTTTCATCGAAAGGGCCTCTCCATATTCAGTTGTATGTCAATGACACATACTAAAAAAGCTCATAACTCGCTTCAGAGGAACGCTTCGCAGTTAAGGACATCATATTCGGAATCAACGTTCTGAGCTGATTCTAAATATATGTTTCCCATTTCAAAAGGCATTTCAAAGTAGTACACATAGGTACGCTCACACTTGTTTTTGCTGATAGATAAAATTTAGTTCAAAATTTCTCAAAAGTGCAAACGAAAAGATTCCTGAAAGCGTAGTTGCCATAGACGTGCACGAATTTTGGATGGCAATCAGAAAGTTGTTTGGAAGGCATGAGCCGTGCCACAAAATTTGAACAAAGGTTTCTGTCCCTTTCCCGAAAAACGTCATGACATGCACACCAAGTTGCATGACGCCGACTTTCCCGATTACTCAACAATTCTTAATGAATGCAATGTGTTAGTTTCGAATCATTTGCTCAAACGCGCTCGTCATGTATGCTACTGTAATAATATTGGGGCTAGTGATGTTGTCTGATGTAGTACCCTACGAAAACGGTAAGTAAAGGAAGGTAAACGTTCACAGAGTTTCTCATCTTAGCCAAAAGTGTGTTGGACTTTCACTCGTTTCAATATCAGAGACAAGGGCGGAGTTCCATAAGAAACAAGCTGAATTGATTTCTCACTTATTCTCCGGATACAGAAAAGAAGTGCCACCAATTATTATAAGAGGTGAGGGCAAACTTTACCAACTTATAATTGCAATGTTATTTCCTCATTATTGATTTTCCACAACATGATGATGATGCCAGTTATAAACTCATGAACCCTCTCTTTGATCGCTGCAACTTACAACTTACCTTCCCTTGAAAGTGCATGTTGTGACCAGGGTCAGGCCTGGGATGTTGCACGCCACACCTGGGAATCTTATTGAGGGTTCAGATTGGAAGGAAGGGGGGGGGGGGTCGTTATGAGGTGATCAGCGATGATAAGATTCGTTAGTAATGTCTGTTAGGTAGATTATGCAAAATAAAAGCACACTGAGATACTCACCTACCAGCGTGTGCATACAGTAAGTATTATAGGATAGAGCTTTACAAAACAAGATGAGCATCATTTTCGTAAACGGCATGTCAAATAACCTCAGCGAAACAAGTTTTAGCAAATTCTAGGGTTGCCAAACATCGGGCTATCAAGTGAAATGGTGATTTCGAAGATTGACTTTGTCTTGCACTTGCAAAGCCTACTTTCTCTTTGCCCATATCAGGAATCCCATTATTAGCTGTGGAATTAGGAAAGTGTCTCGTTCCCAATCAAAATCTCGTTTGCTCCAATTTTTCTTACAATGGTTGTGCGTCCCGCAACTACTTCATAGAATGAAGAAGACAAATTATTAGGCTCGAATCATTCTGTAGAATCTAGGAGATCTAACCTATGAAATGTATATAATTTTCCAACTCCCTTGCAAGATATGTGGTAGAGCAATTCTAGCATACGGCCATAAACCAGTATTGGCCGTGAAATAGGTTTGCCATGCAAATTGATCCAAAATTGTGCGTGAATTATTGTTAAAGGTGTTTTAATTTACCCGATAATAAACAAATGAAATTTGAAAATAGCTTGAGATTTTACGCCCTCACAAAGTTGAGCGAGCCATGCAAGACTGCTAGGAACAACCGTCAAGGACCAAGGAGTCGGAACCTCAAATTCACCGACACTTCGCGTATTGATGTTAGTTGACGTGACAAACACGCGTATCATACTCATTTGTAGAATCAACTCCTTTTCCCTCAGTAAGGGTGAGGCCTTAAACCGTAAATCCAAAATAATATTGCAAAAAAGTCCCTACCGTGCAATTTCAGTACTGTTTTCGTGATCAGCATGTTGTAACTCCCCTATGCCATATTTTAGCCAAATCTGCAATATATGATTTTTCTCCTTGAACCATACCTTACCCTCACTGCAACACCAGGATTTGCTCTTAACTGGATGGCGCTTTGCAAAATTTGGTCATTCAAACGCCCATAGTTTATGAAAGGCGTTCAACGAATTCAAGAGGTAGATATGATTCTGCTCATTGAGGCGCATTCAATGATAGCATTTCAATCCAAATCCCAGTGTGACTCGAGATCCTTCCCTGGTTAGAACGAGCAAGTAAGCAATTATAAACAGCGTTTCGAACACCCTGAATTTATTTACCTATTTATTTCAATGCACCTAAACGTGGCCTCTGAATCATCACGAATGGACCCCGGTTATCACCTGCTCAGATAATCGCCGGGGGCAGGCGGTCATGCTATTTATGGGCGGGCGGGCACCGGAAAAATAGTTCGCCGATTTCTTGCGGTCCGCTTGCAGATATTTAAAAGAATTTTAGCGGAATTTTAGACGAATGCTTGGAGAACAATCGCGGTTTCCTTATAGATTAGCTGCAGCGCAGTGGCCGCATTCTCACGGACTTTCCGTGAGAAAATTTTCGAGGGCCGCACGGTCCTTTGTGAAGGACCGCGCAGCTCCCAGGTACTTTCCGCTGAGCGTAAGTACCTCAAACTTGAGTAATTAAACCATCGATGACACCTCTGCCATGTAGAGTCTCTTGTCCGGAGACTTACTTTTGTTCGGAGTACGCCCGAAACCGCTCAAAAACCGTCCAAGCGCCAGCTGGAAATTTGACCAGCGCTCGCTGAAAGAGATATTTGACGAACGCCTGCAGAAAGCTCTGTGTTGCTGCTCGCTGGCAGAACATTAGACAGTAAAGGAAGTACCGCTCGCTGAAGGTTTGGCCATGCCCCAGAATTCTGCGACCGCCTACAGAAAAGCGCGAATTTGCGGACCGCTTGCTCCCGGCGATTATCTGAGTGTATGTAATAGGCAAGGAAAGTTTTCGGAACAACATCCAGGAGGGGAATAACGGCGTCTCTTTTGTATTTGATTGGGCTATGTCTGCTGTTGTACAGTTACTACTCTAAGGGCCGCATGCACTAACCTCCTCGCTGGGGAGGGGATCGCAGCTTAAAAGAAAGCTTTATATTTCGAAACTCCAGATACCTGGATTTCACGTTGTACCTATCCATAAGTATTCCTACTACCCTACACTAAGAACATGTTGAACAGGAGCGAGAAGCTGTACAAACCGCATTTTTCAGCTTTTGTATGATCCCTGATGATCCCCGGCGCTTTTCTTTAAAGTCATTTTTCTTTCTCCGATGTTAACGAAAACCTTCCAAAGCTGTACTGAACATCTAACACAACAGTGCTAAGCAAGTTGCTGATGAGAACAAATGAGTTTTTGAAAAGTCGAATTTTTCGGTAAACCTCAAATCTCGATCTGTGGATCATCGAAAAATTCATGACTTCAAGACATAATTTGTTCTTGTCAGCAACATGCTTAACACTGTCGGGTGGGTTAGATAATCTGCACAACCTTGGAGGTTTTTCGTTAACCTCGGAGAAAGAAAAATGACTTTAATGAAAAGCACCGGGGATCATCAGGGATCATACAACGGTTGGAAAATGCGGTTCGTACAGCTTCTCGCTCCTGTTCAACATGTTCATAGTGAAGGGTAGTAGGAATACTTACGGATAGGTACACAACGTGAGATCCAGGTATCTGGAGTTTCGAAATATAAAGCTTTCTTTTAAGCTGCGATCCCCTCCCCGCGGGGATGTTAGTGCATGCGGCCCTAAGTAGTGATTTTTTGACTCCATTAATTTCCTCGTTACTTTGCAAGCTCTAAAAAGACTCTTCTTTGGTAAAACAATATTTTTCTCACTGAAGCATAACAAATAAACTTCGACGCCCGATTCGGAAACTTTTGTAGCCATGCTCTCTTTGGACTGCGACAATATGAGGATACCAGCAATATGTTTAAGAAATTCTTTTGGCTAAAGTTAGATTGTGAACCGAGCGCATCTTGATTGTTATTTCACAAAAGAACTGTGGAGAGAGGAAATTCTTATGTATGGAATGATTAATCAAAAAGAATGCTTTTCATGAATCATTCCATGCACAAGACATGAAACAGAAGTTATACTAAAGAAAAGTGTCAGTCAGGGTCACAAGCAAAATTAAGCAAAGGGTGAGTCACATTACAACCAAACCGATTCGCTTCGTCAGTCCACTCTCGAAATTTGATTACCGGAAGCCAGAAATTACAGAAAGCACGCCTGACAGTTTCTGAGGCAAAAAGAGGGGGGGGGGGGGGTACGTAAAGCATGCTATATTGCTACAGTGGGCCTTGTAGACACACTTATTACGTGACTGGCATGCTCTAACTCCATGAGACGCGAGATTTGAGAAAACTAAAATAGGCAATGGTCTGATTGCAGCTCGATGTCATTCATAAGATACGGATTTCAAAAATTTATAAATAATGTTTAATTGGTTAATACTCAAGCTGCACCAAAAGAAGTGTATGCCGGAAATTGTCATTTATTTGTATTCTAATAGGTTCCTTGGTAACCTAAAGAGTAAACTATACAAGAACTTTCAGAACATTTGCACCAATACTGATCACGTAATTTCTGAACCCAGAAACTAAAAAACCCTGCGGATCCATAATTGCTTACGCATATAACACATTCCACATCACGACATTTGTGTACAACGTTGCTGTATTTTTCCATCGACTAAAAATTGAGAAAATGAAGATTTTCGTGGTTTTGCCAAAGCTCTGAGCTGTTCCTACACTAGCAGTCATATACTACAAGTTTTTAAAAGTACAGTCATGTGTTTTCAGCTTATATCGATTTTGGCATGAAGTTTAAAGGGAGAGACATTCAATATCTGGATTGTAGAAGGTTGAATATTTACGATTGTACTTTGAAACCTTCTAGTGTACAAATACTAGTGTGGAAAGTAGAAGCTAAAGTGGATGCGTAAGAAAACTTTTGATAGCAGATCCCTTTGCGATAGCTCAGACGACATAAAATAAACTTTTCTGCAAAATGGTAGAGGCAGTAAATCACAACAGGCACCTATGCTGAGATATGGGGATGTTATTGGTTTGAGGGAGGTATGGTTGAACCCTAAAAACTGCAGTGGCCCTAATAACAACAGACCCCATAATTCATACAGTATTGTATTTGATGAGAAAATTCTAAATACAAGCCATGTTTTGCCTTTTTTGGATAAAAATAGGAGCTATACTTACAAAATATCATCCATTTTACGACTGGCAGACTCGAAAGCGCTTTGCAAACATTGTCTAAACAAGTCGACCGTGTGCTTACAACGGAAAGTAGTTAACTAGCGGAGTTTCCCAATGAGACGTGTATCACCAGAAAGGTTTTTGAGCGCTGATTTCAAAACAATCTTCCGTACCTCCTCATCGTTTTTCTGAACAGAGTTAGGGGCATCTTTTGGCTTTTGATGTGCATGGTCAGGAACTGTTTGAGCATGATCGTAATAAACGCAAATTTGCTTTGAAATCACATGCCTGAATTTCTGAGATAAATCATTGCACTTCAGAAAAAAATTGATGGGAATAGTTTTGAAGCTACTCTGTTATGTATCTTAGTTCTGCAATAAGCAACCACATTCAGTATGTGAGGACAAACAAACGCCTGTAACTCTATTTATTTATATATTTATTTATTTATTTAATACGCACAAGGCGCGCCCATACAACAGAAGAACGAAGCATCACACCAAACAACCAACAACAAAAAAAAATAAAACAAAAAGGCAAACTCCCCACTGAATCAGTTCAAGTCCAGTCCGCAAAATCTTTCTGGGAATGGAAAGGGAGTGAGCTTGTTTAGACATATATGAAGTCATCACAGGTGTAGAGGTTCAGTGGAGTCTGTCTCATGCCCCCTGCTCTTAGCAAAAAATGCTCTTACTCAACATAAGCAATTGTATATGTTGGAAGCAGGTGTATTGGTAGTAATGTTGATAAAACCCGTCCAACCAAAACTCTGGGGAGAGAACAGAACTCCGATAGAAGTTGCACAATGCAAAAGTCTCAAGTCCAAACAAGCTAGCCCAAGTATAACTGAGGTGATAAGACGGAACTAGACCCAAACTAACGCGTGAGGCATGAAAGTGTTAGAAGAAAACCAAACAGAGAACAGCAATAATTTGAACTAAGGTCCAATGAAGTGTTAGAGTCTGATCTAACATAAACTACAGTCCAACAAAGCATTCATTCCGCATCCCTCGACCACAATCAGCCCAGAGTAAGGATCAGCATGAGACAGGTGTAGAGTCGCGTGCCATGAAACCGTCATACGAAAAAGATAGTGAACCGCATGGACAAGAGCGAGAATCTAAAAAAAGACTATCGAGAGATGAAAAATAAAATAGAAGAAAAAGAAGGAAAAAAGAAGTGCAAAGAAGATCAAGCCTCAGAACCAAACCATGGGAGAACCATAACAACCATAAGCCCTAAAGACCTAAACCCTAAAAGGATCTGAACACAAATATTAGAAACGCAACGCAATCAAGAAGAAGTATCACTGCTCAAAAGTTGAGACAAATCAGCTTTTCTTTCTTAATTTTTTCTTGAAGGCTTCACCGCCACGCATGACACAATATCAACGGTTAAGCGCTGAAGCCATCTTGCACAGCGGAAGAACAGGTAGTTGAATAAATAGTTATATAATTAAATAAATCGATATATAGATAAGGAAAACATATTCATAATCCGCATGTCAAAGCGTCATTGCGGTATCTGCTTTATTGGCGTAGGCCACTTCGAGTCAAATGCCTTCCCTGTCTAGCATTATTTGCGAATTGGAAACAGCGAAGAACGAGTTTCATCTCGTTAAGACGAAAATGTGTGTCAAGCGGTCTCGAGTCTCCTAGTCATAGAACAGGATGATATTTCAATAAGCAATGTACAGGGCTTATCAACTACGATGTCGGGTGCACCAGCATCCCCTCCCGCGTGGACTCTGCATCTCTTTCACAAACATACTCTCTGATCACTTTTCCATCGCGAGCGAGGGAAAGCCGGAGTCTCAGTCGATTGGATGTGATTAGAGAGCATGTTCGCGGACCGGGCGGAGTCCCGCGAGGAAGTGGGGATGCTGGACCCGACATCTCAATTGATGAACCCTGTAACTCTTGTATAATATTTATTATGAAATGCAATAACGATCGTTATTCTTACTTTGCGCAAAGATACTATATGAGGAACTTACAACTTATCGCTCCCTCCTCCCTCCTTTTTTTCCCATTGACATGGGCACTTGGACCCCTCTCATTTTTGAGAATCAAAACAGCCGAGACAGCCCGTACCAGACTAACACACAATTGATCAGTATCAAGATTGTCGAACAAAATTGACTGGCATGATGCTGTCACCTGCCACGCTGACCACATTTCACGGCTGTCACTGAAAGTCGGACAATTACTAATGGCTATCAAAGCCACTTGTAAAGTATTTTTACTTGTTACCTTTGAAACACTAGTCAAGATCTTTTTTCACATCTGTACGGCTTCTTCTATACATGTTCGCTGAAAAACTTTAGCTCAAAATTATGCTAGATTCATTGAATCCTATTCTGGGCAAAAGGGCCGCGTAACCTTTTTTAATGACATACGCTCGATACGCTGTTAGTTGTTGAGGGCAAGGTGCGTTATTTTGTTGATTTGGATCACTTCCTCCTTTACTAATAACTACCAAGCTTTTTTCTTTTATTGTAAAGTGCTATCATATCGATCATTCTTTAATCTTGTTAGTGGTGATTTTTGGTTTAGCATGCTTTAGTAAGGTTTCGTTGGGTGCTCTTTTATCACCCCCGACCTCACCAGATATTGCTCAAGCGCACTTCCAGGTGCAAAATATGCGTCATGAAGTATGAAATCAAGATTATTTTGTGTTAGATGGAATATAATGAAAATTGAAAGTTTGCATATGTCTTCAATGTGGCTGGACTACTCAGTGTGCGGGATTTCCTCACCATGATCGTATGTATCTAAACATCGGGGTCGATTATTATTGAGCTCATGCAGATATATCTTACACTTTCAAACATAGCAGAAGTACAATGATTTGCAAAAAAAGCTATGTGCCAGCTTCAGGCCTTGATTCACCAACGACCATAGAGCCCTTGGTTGTGAATATCACACTTGGATACGTACACCTTATGACTGTCGTATGTCTCTTATGAGTTACGGATTATTCGAGCATAAAAAAACTGTAGGCACTACTTGCAGAACGAGCCAAATCAAACAATAGACATGCTTATCGACTACATTTTGGCAAGTTTTTCTTATTTAACGAACAACAAGTCAATGTAGAGGGTCAAACAAAACCGCAGAGGTGGAACGATGTGCGCCTCACATGGAACCCAGCTGATTTCAATGAAATCAAAGGGATCTTGATCGATAAAAACCTTATCTGGAAAGCAGATCTGCTATCGTCCGAAAGGTTTTTACTATTCTCAATAAAACTTTCCGTTATAACACCACTTTCAATTGCAGCTGTACCACAACTGATGTGAGAGAATCTCAGTTGCAACATGCTTACGTACGTCTAACATCATCATTTGGTTCCAAGCAAAAAGTTTCGTACAGGTAGAATGCAATGGCAATGTACATCTCTATGTGGCTAATGCCATCTCACTCCTGTGTCCATGGAACGTAAGCCTATATCTTTCTTTAATTACCTGCTTAGAAGGACCAGTGTGCTCACTCAATTAAACTCTACAGGTCGAAAATTTCCCGTTCGATGAGCAAGTATGCAATTTGACTTTCGCATCCATCGACCTTTTGCATCCGGCTATACAATTTAACGCTAATATATCGGAAGACTACAAGAAACCTCGGGTATACCAGCAATTTTTTGGCTCGTATATGTGTTTTCTGTGGTCTGATCACGAAAAGTAACTTTTGAAAGAAAAAATGCTTATTATTATTATCAATATTATTATTACTATATTTATCATTATGTATCACCATTATTATTTAGTATTATTTATTATTTATTATTATTCATTATTAATAATTATGATTATTGTTTTATTAGAAAAGTTTAGGTATCAAGAAATTGGATAATATTTCAGTTTTCAGCATGCAATTTCAGCGTGACACAACCTGATTGAGTTGTTCTTATGAAGTTTCTTATGGAGAGTTTCATTTTTTTCTTCATGGTCATCAGTCTGATTGTGAGACTTCATACCTTGCTGAAATCCTTGAAATTCTCTGAAGAAAAACGCGAGGCTTGAATGCATCCTTGTGCTGTTTTCATACGTATCGTAGATTATATGAAATCGCGCAGGTATCAGTATGGAAACAGCTTTGTTATAGTAATCCGGTGAAAATAATCAATAGTTTATCGGTAAGCTTAAAGTGAATGATAGCCGTACAATAACCACGGCAAAAAAAACTTGTAGCAAAATAACTGAGATTTATCGTAGAATACTCGCCGAACAATGTCGCCTTCATTGAGTCGCAAAAAAACTTGCACTCTAATTTCCGCACGATTTTTTAAAAATTGGTTCAAGTAAAAGTAACCCTGCCTGTATCCGGCTATCCAAAAGCATCAATCTGGATGGATGCTTTGTGGGTGCAAAATTGCTGAGACTGACGTAGCCAAAGATTGCATGATTCATCCCCTTGTTTTCAAATCAACGTTTGTACTTTACTTTCAGGATAATGGCGCATGGACTGTTTATGGGCCCATGGTTGAACCTAATTTAGAAGACCACAAAGTATGAGGCAATAACAAATATCCTTGTCCACATTTTAAACGCATGTCTTTGCTAAGCAGGCATCGTTCCACTTCCAATTTAAACGTAGCCCTGGTTTTTATGTTATCGTTATAATAATGCCATCGTTTCTGCTTACCTTCCTCTGCGTGATTGGAATGTTTCGGTTCAATTCTGACCATACCGATTACCTAGGCAAAGTAAGCTATGAGTATTTACGATACAATTACTGAAATGTATAGGAAGATTCAGCTAGGGGCCGGTTTTACGGCTATAGTTGCAAAGTGTTCCATTCTTCAGCTTCTAGAAACATCTGCACCCAAGGCAAGTCAACTGTCATTGCTGTGTGAGTCAGAAATCCAGCATCTTTGCTCATTCTGGGACTCTTAAATAAAATTTGATTAATTGTAGCCTTTTACGTTATGGTGAACCTAATATTAGTGACTGTGGCTATGTTTATCACTGTGATGAGTCTGGAAATGTGCTCTCTGTCAAAACTCGCCATTCCTGGTATCAAAACAAAGAGGTAAGCTTAATATCATGTAAAAAGTTTTTTTCAACTTGCGCTGTTACAGATGGACTCGTCGGTTCCGTTTCAACTCGCTTGCGAAGTTTCGAGTCATTTGCTTAATTCTATTCCCATTAGCAACAACTGTGAATCTACTTAAGTTGTTGTTAGATGTGCGCAAATGTATGAATAATTGTAAACCAATGGAGAAATCACTTGTCACGATGTAAACTACTGGTAATCTATGTTCGCTTTTTGGCTCGATAGGATTGATAGGTCTGGGTGATACAAAAGCGTTGTAATAAAGATAAGCCAACAAATACCGACGATTTACATTAAAAAGTTTTTTGGAGACAGGGTCTAGGGATTCCTTCCCAAGATGTTAATTCACGAACAGCGGTTCATCGACGATTTCGAAATCCTGAGATTTTACTTATAGTGCAGACACGCTTGACAGTGTCGTAATAGATCTTTAGTACAACTCTACGACGTTTTCTCGAGCGAGGATAGACGACTTAAAAAGAAAACGCGATACCCGCGGAATTCCCTAGGGGATCACCCACACAGTGAAAACTTCCGCTAACACGCAATGTTCTGTCATCAAATATACTCCGCTATCAGGATATGAGAACCTTTATAACATTCAAAAGATAGGCAACTACGAAGATTGCAGACATCTAAGGCATTGGGTATGAGACCTTCTCTCAGTACATACGGACCTTATTCTTTCGAGCTACAACAACTTGTAGGTTTTCGCAGAACATCATTGTACACTACAAGTTGAAGAAATAAGGCAGTCCATTACATGCTGGCCCGCTTGACCTACTAGTGCCTGGAGTATTTCAAAGCGAAATCTGGGCGATTTTGCGCGAAGTTTATTGGATCGAAAGGCTCGCTTTCTACAAAAACCGGTAATCAAAAATCGTCCAGGACACTTCCTCATCCCAATGAGAATCTAATCTTTGGAAAGATTAATTCGATTATTTTTGGTACTGTCTACAGTAAATACGCCCAAAATGCCGCACAGATTGTTCAGAACTTCGTTCGTTGCTTTCACAACGCTACCGGAAGATTCGATGGGAAGTTTGATATATCCGTGCGTCTAATTAGCCAAAAACTAACGTTTTTTTCGGCTAAACTGCATTTTCCGTTTCCTTTCGCATACTTCTCCACTGTTGTTTTTGGGATTCTCACGCTTATTTCATTGGAAAGGATTGATACTTGCGTGCGACGAGTTGAAGATGGTCAAGTGCTTTCTTTTGCTTTCGCGATGGTAATGCAAAGCTTGGTTTTCTGACATTTTGCGAGTTTGACGCGAGCAGCAAAATCGAAGGCTTACTGAGAAAAAAAGAAAAATGCGTTTAAAAATGTACCGCAAAAGCGTCCTGTGAAATTTTTCTTTGAATGGCGACGACAGAATCGTTCAGCTTGTTGATTGGATACTTAACTATACATTTGAAGTCTTCAAATGTTGAAATCAAAACCAATGTCGCAAAAAGATTGAAAAAAACTCATAGGGTTTGGTCAGCTTGTTAGATTACAAATATATTGCTTGCGTTAGAAAATCATTTCAGAATTTAAACCGTCTACTAATAGTGCCAATGAGTTGATTCAAGAGTTATCAAACAATGCGAACATTCTGAGAACAACTCAGACAATTTACGGGAACTTTCCGAGGGCTGTGGGGGAACTTTCGGCAGGTCACCTCGGAAAGTTCCCGTAAAGCCCTCGGGAAGTTCTGCAAATAGGCTCTCGGGAACTTCCCCAAAAACGGAAACTTTCCGAGGACTTCGTTGCAGAACTTCCCGAGGGCTTCAGATGGACCTTTGTGTAGCTTACAGAACCTTTAACAGTAAAACCTGCTTCTTTCGAGCCGTACCCTTACTTCAGCTACTCAGGCTTAAAGCACGCAAAACACAGATATCCTTCATCATTTATTGCTAAAGCATAGATATAGAAGAAAGGAAAAAAGCCATTGAATAAATTTCTTTAGCATGTTTACAAAATTAAATTACATGTAATTTAATTTTGTAAACATGCCAAAGAAATTGCCGGAATGATGCGGATGGAGGGCTTCTCGTGATATGGCACAAAGAAAAACAATAATTATGGTGGACGCGTTAGACTGCAGGATCGAAACTCCTTCATGTGCAGCGCTTGTCTCCTCCATTCCGATTTCGTCATGCGTGCCTTGTCTTCTCTACCGAAGCCGGCCTGCGTCGTTTTGTATTTCTGGAAAAAAATACTTAAATGCATAAGATAAAATAAACAAAGTTCATACCTTTGATGGCACAAGTTTCCCTTGGCGCAACGGTAATAGCGGACGTCTTCCCTGCAAAACTGAATTTAGAGGGAGAAATCAATGTTGTTGGAAAATTTACAGTGCTTTTGCGATGCAGATCCTGATTTTGAAGCAATAAACAGTTTTTTGTTTCAGCAGAAAGTCGAATCTCTTTTCTCGTTCTTCCTCGGATTTGCCCAAGGTTATCCAAAAACTGGAATTATTTGAGTAGATGACGGTCGCTATCGAAACGTCAACGCACATACTCTGCGAATTTTTTATCGCATCTAATCGGTATCCCTCCAATTCCTCGTTGCCGAGATCAAGCGCATCCAAAATAAATTCTAAATAACTAGTTTACCTGAGAACGTTTTGCATAAACATTGTACCGTTAAGAGCGTATACGACAGAGACAGGCGTATACGTGGGGAGCGCAATCCTCCCCATAGTTGCGAGTTAGTTTGGATTACCCCTACCCAAACGTACTGAGGAGGATTTGCACTCCATTACGTATGCGAAGCCAGCTAAAAAGGACAATGCTATAAAGTCATCTATTGCTTGTCTGTCATAATGCTCGTTCAAGGGTATCCCTATACATCATTTTTCGAGGATTTCCTTGCTTCGTTGCTCAGAGGCTATTGACTAGTTATCATCGGCTTCCCGATTCGTGTGGAGGCGGGTTGCGGACTTCCCTGATTTTCAGAATAAACTTATTGAATTTCCACGTTACAGCATTCTATTTCGTACTCTCTCGTTAAGCTTGTCCTTAAAATCAGGGAAGTCCGCAACCCGCCTCCACACGAATCTGGGAGCCGATCATACTTATTTCACTCATTGACTTTGAGTCTATTAATCATAAAAGACCTTTCCAAAGTAATGGGAGTAAGCTCACTTTCGCTAATCGGGTCAGACCATTACGATTGAGTACCAAGATGCTAGCTTATGTTCTACAGTAAAAATTATCGTCAGAATCATCAGAACATCTGATGCTCAATTGTTCGCTGAAATTTGAGGATGCGTAAGATTTTGCAAATCACTGGAATATAGTCAGTTACAGTAGTTTCCGAACCTCTGATAACTTGATATACTTTACGGTTTCATAAGTGATACCAGTGAAGCAGAGATAAGATTCTTGAAGTAGACTGTTCATCAAGTAATACTTTGAGTTTTTACGAACGCTTCTGACATTACTTTGATGAGTCGATCAGCGGATGCACTGCAAAACTAGAGCTTGCTCATTTTCAGTGATTTCTCCTTATGCCTTGGTCTTTTTTGTTCTTGTCGATTATATGTTAATCACTAGAAGATATATCTGCAATTTTTGAGATTAGAAAACGTTTCACTGAAAAGTTACTAGTAAGGGTGCCGTCGCTAGTATTGTGTAGTGTGCAGTCTCACACATCAAGTTACAAATGACTTGAGGATAGATAGGTAGATATTATAACACGTTACCTAACCTTCAGACGGTGTAGACGGAAATGAAGCACCTTAAGCTTTACCTTATCAAACTTTCAGCTTATCATTGTGATGCAGGTAGTCTTACTTGCAAAACAAGCAAAACAGGACTGTTTTGCTAACTTGCAAAACAGCTCTGCGGAAGTTCCCGCAAATTAAAATCCTCGGGAGGTTCTGCATTTTGCAGAACTTTCCGAGGACTTCCTCGGGAAGTTCCTAACTGTGTTGTTTTTGACGTCAAAGTTTTCGGGAAGTTCCCATTTTTATGGCTGCATTCACTTACGTGCTAAATGAAACCCTCGAGAAGTTTGGCAAATTGGCTTGCCCCTCGGGAAGTTCCCGTGATTTGTCTGAGAATGCAAGAGATCTAAGTTGAAATAAAACCCAAATGCGTACACAAGAGCATCAAATATTACTTTTTCCTACAAAACAACGACTGCAAAAAAGTGAGAAAAAATAAAGGCTAGAAAAGCTTGAGCAGAAGAGATATTCTTCCCTGAAGCTCTCATGTGCCGCTCCGTCACATGAAAAGCTCCTGCTATTGGAATGGGACGTAGCTCAATTCGGCAAGTAGATCGCCTCCCGAACAAGTCATGGGAGATGATCTGAGCGATGATCTTCCGAAATAGTGTCCTAAAGAGGAGATTCAAAGAAAATTTCCGTGAGTCGCTCCAGAGTAACTTACAGTACACCTCATGGCACGTATAATGCAGACAACTTAGCGCAAGAATGCGCAATTCGAGGGCCTAAAAGAGAGGATCGATAAACAGCAGATCGCAGCCATGGAAGAAAAACAAGCTTTTTTCTTTCTGTAGAGTTGGCTGGTTTCTTTTGGAATCTTCTACAGTATGATGATATTCATACATCTCATTCTTTTAATGGCCATGAAGAAACACCTTGATCTTGCTTTGTTTGCCCATTTCCTAGGCGAAGTTCTAGACAGCTGTAATCATCGATTTTTGATAGTGGCCGCTTTAAAGATGGCTGGGTCATGTAGCAAAAACGATGCCGTTGCCCGTCATGGATACTCTTTCGTTACAGCCCCATTGTACACCGCCGAGGTCCCTTTTATTTTAAAAACGCCTGCTCATCTTACGATTCAGACGTATGCAGACGATGTCAAAATACGCAGGATCTATGACAGAGATAACCGGCACGAAGTTCAGTCTGCAATGAAGAGATCGTTGGATCAAATGTCATACGAGCTTCTAGCTTGGTATCCATTTGAATTCTGAGAAATGTTTCGTTGTGCATTTAGACGAGGAACAATCTGATTATGAGCACGGTAAAGCGTGGGGTATAGCACGCCGCACCTGGACGGTCGTATTGAGGAGTCAGAAAAGGAAGGGGATCGTAGTCGAATGCTAATAGCAAAGACATGTTATTGATAAACAATTTGCCAGATAATCCCAGCATGCGAAATACAAGCACATTCATTTACTTACTTATTAAACAAGGCGTGCCATAACTAGAACGAAATATTGGAAACATAATCAGGAACAGATACAAAAACAAAACAAAAAAGATGCAATAAATTAGCGCAAGTCCAGTCACCAAATAGTTATGAAGAAAACGAGGAATTAAGTTTGTATAGACTATAGTCTTTTTCAACCCGGAATAGGCGAAACATTCCAAATGGAGCAGCGCGTCCGCATCGCCACTGGCTCAGCGAGAAAGATCAGAATGAAGAGACGCAGACTGCAAAGGGCGCGAGTTGTTGCGAAGCGGATTCCCGCCAGTCCAATTTCCGCCTAAACTGAGTTGAAACCTACTGTATCTATGAAATAATCACTCAAATTGATGGCGGAAAGACTCAGTAGAGTCTGTTTTATGCCCCTGCTTGCCCGAAAAGGCGATCTTTACTATTCAGTATGAACAAACTGCAAAATAAGGGAAATGGTATATATGGAAATCCCGCACAACCAGTTTTTGGGGAGGAGCAGAACTCCGATAGCGGAGAAAAGCCCTAACAAGCTATTCTCAGGTAAAAACAGAAGGGGGTGCACCGGACTTAACCCAACGTGTGGACAAAGCGTAAATATGACTAAACGCCAACATCAGAAGATTTCAGTTGAAGTCAACTCTAATTTCCTCGGTTCTGCAATCAAATAAAGCCATAGAAAAAATAGAAACAAACAATGCTTGAGTTAGCTCAAACAGCCAAGCAACAATGGGTTAGTCTAGCCATGACCAAACTTTACTAGACAAAAACAAGTCCAACACAGCGGAAGGCCATTGCTTCATACTGTAGCAGCCATAATTAGTCAAAACCACCGAGCCGAAACCCAGCGAAACTGTCATTCGAACCATGAATACTAGATAGACTAGGTTAGAAGAATATCCACTGCATGCCAACACGTTCAAGACCACCTAAACTAAAGACGCAGGGCCCAGCTGTTCAAGACAAGTGACTATAGGTCGCTGTTCTTGAGCATCCGGGCTAGCTGCAAATGATTCATGGCTCAACTGCTTTAAAACAAACAGCCTTTAGCCGTTTACTCTCAAGCAATCAAGCCGCAATGAATTTTGCTGTTTGCATATAAAACTCTTGTTATCGGTTGAATTGAAAGCCTCGTAAGGCAAGAGATCAAGCCGTTTGAATGTTCGGCAGAAAAAAGAGTTGGAAACTAGTGAATGTTGTTTTCTAAATATCCCTCCGTGATCTAGGTTAAAGGCAGCGCTTCTAGTTGAGCATGGCAACCAGCATAGCAACCTCCAGTACTTACTGGCGCTTAAACTGGTTTCCTTTTTTGATATGCGAAAAGCAAATGTCAAATCGTTCCAAACTCTTCTGAATAAAAGAGTGTGCAACGACAGAGTTTCCAATCTTTACAATCACATGATATATTATCAGGTCATTCGTAAAGTTTTTTCGTTTTTGCACCTTCAAATTTGAACATGCACATCCTTTTCCAAATCAAACTTTTTTCACCAAATAAACTTCAGTTTGTTTAGCACATTTCTGGCTGCACTCCTATAGTGGTTTAGTGATTTTAACTTGCGAAATAATCTCAGCAGAATCATGAAAGCCTAAAAAGACGTTTTGGACTAGCTACCCTAGCGCGTACAAGGCGCACCTTTTTCGATTTTTCGACTAAGCCCTTCAGCCGCTTCAAACCATTTCGGAGAGCGACCCTTATACCGTACGATTCTCTTAAGCAATATACAGCAAGGCATAGGGTCCTTTGGTTGTGAAGTTCTTTGGCATATTTGGGCTGGTCGATTTTGGAAAAAAATTCCCCGGGCCTTGTATGCGTGAAATTAGGGTAATTTTTATTGGCCTATATTATTCTTGAATAAGCAGCGCGGAACTAGCAAAATTGGTGATTGATAAAGAAACATCTGAAGAATTCGAAAAATGAACAGGGACTCGGCGCGCAGTTAATACTTTTTGTGAGAGCCACCTTCTTACATGTGGTTTGGCGGCATTATTGCACCTCGCATAGTTGTATGTGCAAGCCTGCTCAATTTCGAAATTATGACAAACGGTCTTTAGACCGATTCATACTACTCTTTTCTGCCTGTACAACCACATTTTAGCAAGTATATAGTGTACAAGACCTGCAGGATTGAGTGATTTGATTTCATTACCCTTTTGAATGAGTGATAGTCCATGGGCATGCTTTCAATGCTTACTCTACATAATTTGTCACAGTGTCGCTTTTTGTGGGCGTGATTGACCCATTTCTTACTATAAATATCAATTCATGCCGAAAGAGGGTTGCTCTATCAAATTATGAGCAAAGAAACCAGAGTCACCGCGCCCCTGTCTGCCAGTGCGACAGTTTGGGGGTATTTAGCTGGAATATTTCGGTTCAGCTTTTGCGAGGGTGGCTTCTGATGGGATTATGTGACACTTCAAAGCCTGCTGATGATTGTACAGTTATATTTGCAGTTTGCTGAGAAGCGTCCCCTCTGAGATGCTCGCCTACATGGCAGCAACAGCTTCCAGAACCTTGCAAAACATCAGCCTTCACTTCTTTAGATCTGAA